GCAAGCGTCGTGTTTTTATTTTTATTTGGGAAGGACTGGTCCACCGTCTTGGCTAATGTGGAATTGAACACCGCCGGTTCAGGGACCAATCGCCCCACCATGACACGGGGGCATTGTCTTCGACGGGCAAGGTAACCTCATTCACGGTCAGGTGTGTGAACGCGATATATTGATTTTCTTTGTATTCTTTCGTTCTTTCGGTAAAGTCACGTAGATAAAAGATAAAAAATAAAATACAAGTAAAATTTAACATATTTTTAAATATTTTAACTTTTATCTATCGACGTGACTTTACCGAAAGAACCAAAGAATACAAAGCAAAGTAATACAATTTAAAAATACTTTTAAACAATTAAAATTATATTTTATTTTTATTTTCTATCTACGTGACTTTACCGACAGAACCAAAGAATGTGAATTCCTGCAGTCACGAAAGTTTTAAGTCAAGATATATTGCTTCTTACGTGTACGTTCCAAAGCACTAATTGTTATGTGCAACGAATTAACTCTTGGGGAAGGAGGAGTGGGGAGGGGGATGGGGGGCGGTTGTGCCCCCCCCCATCCCACCCCCACTCCACCGAGCCGGCCCCCTGGGGGTGCCGCGGGTTCCGAGGGGCCGGTGTCGCCGCTTGAATTCAATTTTCCGAGATGTTATGGAAAGGTCGCGGGAACTCGCAAAAGAGAAAATTCCACCGCCCCCCCCCCGCCCCATCACCCCCCCCCCCCACCTCACTGCCTCCGCCGTGAGAGCCACTTGGGAGTAATGAGGACATTAAAAAAAACCTCGAATAACAATTAAAGAGTTGTTTGGAAAAACGCTCGTGAAAGCGGCGGTTAGTTACGACGAGTGGGCCGAAGACATCGAGGAAGGCAGAGGACGCGAAGGAGGCCCAATACTGCGCCAACTTCGTCTCAACGTTGGCTTAACGTCGGGCCAACGTTGGTTCAACGTGTGGCCAATATTGGCTCAACGTTGGCTTAACGTTGGTGCAACGTCGGTTCAACGTTGGGCCAACGTTGGGCCGACGTCGGCTCAACGTTGGCTCAACGTTGGGCCATGTTTAGTGGGTAAGGCCTGCGCCCTTGTCTGCTAGATCGTGCGTGTCTTCTCTCGACACGTGTGTGTCGCAGTCACGATGAGAAGGGTGGGTTTATTTATATATTTTATTTTACATTCACTTGCCCAGTTCACTTTGTATGCTTTGGCCACCAAAGTGACTGAATTGGCCAAACATTGTGGTCCAATTTAACTAACAACTGCCCTTTTATATTCTTCGTTCTTTAGGTAAAGTCACGTAGATAGAAGAAAAATAATAATAAAAAATAAAGTGAAACAAATATATTTTGCATTTTTGTAAAATAAAAAGTTATATATTTTTTATTAATTTTATTTTTCTCATGAATTTTCTATCTGCGTGACTTTACCGAAAGAACCAAGAATATGAATTTCCCTCAGGCACGAAAGCTTTAAGTAAAAAATTACTATTCTTAGCTCTTTCGGTAAAGTCACGTTGAAGGGAAACAATAAAATAATAAAATATATATAAAACAATAACAATTCTCACGACGTTTCGACGATAACGCAAACGGTCATCATCAGGTGTGAAAAACCAACGGCAAGAAAAAACCAACGGCGGTTTGCATTTATTTATTTTTAAACGGTGCATTTATTTATTAACAAAAAACCGTTAGCGCCACGGGCAGCGATTTGGCAGTTTATTTAGAAGGACGAGTCCATCTATGTTCTGAAAAGAGGAGGGGGGAGACGAAAAATTAATGTATGCTGTCTGAAAGCCACTGTAAGCGTGAACAATCAATTAAGACCTGAAATGGTTAATCAAATCTTTCCAATGATTGCTAAGCCAGAATCCATCTTCTCGGTTGAAATTGTCTCTGTGCTTGTATATGTGGATAGCCTCATGAACGAATCTCTTATGGTAGCCAGATGGCTTACAAAGAGCCTCTGTCTTGGAGAAGTCAATGTCATGTGAGCCTACTGAATTATAACAATGATCTGCCACGGCCGAGGTGTTGGTCCTACCGTGTTTAAGGTCTACTTTGTGTTCACGAATGCGGTCCGAGACATGGTGTTTGGTTTCTCCAATGTAACTACTACCACAGAGGCAACTTAGTTTGTAGACACCAAAAAAGATCTCCAAAATCTTGAATAAACATAAGATCCAGGTCCGTTTCAACACATTACATAAAATCCGTCACCTGGTTCCGTCTGTAAAAGATGTGATTCCGGACATACAGTACCCTGGTGTCTACAAACTAAGTTGCCTCTGTGGTAGTAGTTACATTGGAGAAACCAAACGCCATGTCTCAGACCGCATTCGTGAACACAAAGCAGACCTTAAACACGGTAGGACCAACACCTCGGCCGTAGCAGATCATTGTTATAATTCAGTAGGCTCACATGACATTGACTTTTCCAAGACAGAGGTTCTTTGTAAGCCATTTGGCTACCATGAGAGATTCGTTCATGAGGCTATCCACATATACAAGCACAGAGACAATTTCAACCGAGAAGATGGATTCTGGCTTAGCAATCATTGGAAAGATTTGATTAACCATTTCAGGTCTTAATTGATTGTTCACGCTTACAGTGGCTTTCAGACAGCATACATTAATTTTTCGTCTCCCCCCTCCTCTTTTCAGAACATAGAAGGACTCGTCCTTCTAAATAAACTGCCAAATCGCTGCCCATGGCGCTAACGTTTTTTTTTTAAATAAATAAATGCACAAATAAATAAATGCAAACCGCCACTTCTTTCAAATGTTTCTTGCCGTTGGTTTTTCACACCTGATGATGACCGTTTGCGTTATGGTCGAAACGTCGTGAGAATTTTTATTGTTTTATATATTTTATTATTTTATTGTTTCCCTTCAACGTGACTTTACCGAAAGAGCTAAGAATATGAATTACTGCAGTCACGAAAGCTTTAAATCAAAATGTAAAAATTGACTCTTTTATATTTGACCAGGTAAGGCTCACTGAATTTTGCAGGACCCTTCCTGAATAACGACGATTCTTGAGACCCATGATTTATTGGGTAAATAAAGAGCATTCTGGTGATGATTATCATTGATGTTTTTACTACTCCTCTAGTTAACGTGACACGAGACATGGTTTGTGAAAGCTACGGTGATGGTTACAATGATGGTGATGTTGGTGGTGAAGGCAGTGACGGTGGTGGTAGTGATTATTATGATGATGATGATGGTTGTGGTGAAGGCAATGATCGTGGTGGTAGCGATTATGATGATGGTGGTTGTGGTGAAGGCAGTGAGGGTGGTGGTGGTAATGGTAGTGGTGGTGGTGAGTGGCAGACAACACTGGGTCTGCTTTGCGTGCCTTGTGTCACGTGGCTACGGCAGCAGATATTAAATATGCGAAGACATTCGACGCGAGACAGTCGCTCTGTAGTGTCCGATTAGAATACAACGAGTCTCGCCCTAGCCCTAGCGAGTCTACCCTTAAGCCTGCTCCTAACGAGTCTCGCCCTAGCCCGAACGAGTCTACCCCTAAGCCTGCTCCTAACGTGTCTCGCCCTAGCCCTAACGAGTCTACCCCTAAGCTTGCTCCTAACGAGTCTCGCCCTAGCCCTGCCCCTAACGAGTCTACCCCTAACCCTGCCCCTAGCGAGTCTAACCTTAACCCCACCCTAACCCTGCCCATAGCGAGACTAACCCAAATCCTGCCCCTAGCGAGTCTAACCCTAATCCTGCCCCTAGCAAGTCTAACCCAGCCCTAGCGAGTCTAACCGTGCCCTTAGCGAGTCTAACCTAAACTATGCCCCTAGCAAGTCTAACCCTGCCCCTAGCGAGTCTAACCCAAACCCTACCCCTAGCGAGTCTAACCAAAACCCTGCCCCTAGCGAGTCTAACCCAAACCCTGCCCCTAGCGAGTCTAACCCAAACCCTGCCCTTAGCGAGTCTAACCCAAACCCTGCCCCTAGAGAGTCTAACCCTAACCCTGCCCCTAGCGAGTCTAACCCTAACCCTGCCCCTAGCGAGTCTAACCCTAAACCTGCCCCTAGCGAGTCTAACCCTAACCCTGTCCCTAGCGAATCTAACCCTAACCCTGCCCCTAGCGAGTCTAACCTTAACCCTGCTCCTAGGGAGTCTAACCCTAACCCCACCCTTAACCCTGCCCCTAGCGAGTTTAACCCTAACCCTGCCCCTAGCGAGTCTAACCCTACCCCTAGCGAGTCTAACCCTAACCCTGCCCCTAGCGAGTCCAACCCTAACTCTGCCCCTAGCGAGCCTAACCCTAACCCTGCCCCTAGCGAGTCTAACCCTAACCCTGCCCCTAGCGAGTCTAACCATAACCCTGCCCCTAGCGAGTCTAATCCTAACCCCACCTTAACCCTGCCCTTAGCGAGTCTAACCCTAACCCTGCCCCTAGCGAGTCTAACCTTAACCCTGCCCCTAGCGAGCCTAACCCTAACCCTGCCCCTAGCGAGTCTATCCCTAACCCTACCCCTAGCGAGTCTAACCCTAACCCTGCCCCTAGCGAGACTAACCCTAACCCTGCCCCTAGCGAGTCTAACCCTAACCCTGCCCCTAGCGAGTCTAACCTTAACCCTGCTCCTAGCGAGTCTAACCCTAACCCTGCTCCTAGCGAGTCTAACCCTAACCCTGCCTCTAGCGAGTCTACCCCAAACCCTGCCCCTAGCGAGTCTAACCCTAACCCTGCCCCTAGCGAGTCTAACCATAACCCTGCTCCTAGCGAGTCTAACCCTAACCCCACCCTTAACCCTGCCCCTAACGAGTCTAACCCTAATCCTGCCCTAGCAAGTCTAACCCTAACCCTGCCCCTAGCAAGTCTAACCCTGCCCCTAGCGAGCCTAACCCTAACCCTGCCCCTAGCGAGTCTAACCCTAACCCTGCCCCTAGCGAGTCTAACCCTAACCCCACCTTTACCCTGCCCCTAGCGAGTCTAACCTTAACCCCACCCTAACCCTGCCCCTAGCGAGTCTAACTCCAACCCTGCCCCTAGCGAGTCTACCCCAAACCCTACCCCTAACCGCCGCCGCCGTCCCCTGGCGGTCTCGCGAACGCAGCGATCCGTCCTCGCGCTTCTTTCGTCCGATCCGACCAAAACCAAAACCCAACGTCCAAGTGACTGACGGGACCTCATTGCCCAGCGGTGCGCAAAGAAAGGGCGGGGGGGAGGGGGGGCGACGGGAGGGGGGGGGGGCACGCAAATCACAAGCATCTCCTGCGAAGCATTAAAACAAAAAAACTAAAAAATTCGTCGTCCGCGCTCTCCCCTTGTTCGGCCCAGAACGGGAGAGAAGCGGGCCCGACAGTTCGCGGTTCGAGGCCCGGCGGCCGCCCCGGTTAATCCCGTGGTGGGGCGTGGGGGTGGGTCTAATCGAGCGCGCAAACTCGCGCCTGTCTGCCGCGCGGGTCGCGAATGCCGAAGGAGCCGTCATGCCGACGTCAGCAGCACGTCACCGGAACCAGGGGGAGGCACAGCAAGAACAAAAAAATCGCCAAATGCGAGAACGCGTCGAGCGCACATGAATCGGTGGGGTAAAAGCCGCTCAGCGACATCGCCCGTGCTTACTGGGCAGACTAAAACTCATCTGTAACGCCGCAGCGGCTTCCTGATATCCTTGCGCTATTAGAATACCAAACGTACCGAACCAAAATTATTATTAATTCTCATTGTGTCATGGGGATCACGAGACACCTGCTGAAGCAAAGGGGGCAGCTGAAATTACCACCGAATGCTTACAGAGAAGAGAGAGAGATGAAAATTTAAATATAATCCAAACCACAATTTATTTTTTTAAATGGAGACATTTTCATAGCAAACGCCCGACGCTGGGAACGGGAAAACGGTGGGGGGGGGGGGGGGGAGGTAAGGAGCGGGGAGCTAAAACGTTCCACCTCAAGTGGAATCGTTCCATCTCCCGCAACGCATCACGGGTACCTGGAACACTCCCCCCCGCCACCGCCTACCCCGTGGGGTCTTCACCCTCCCTTCACACCCAACAGAGGTCAAACTCATTCGCACGATCGAGCAATCGAATTCCCAAGACGACAGCAGCTAGACCATTGCCCCTCTGGCAGGGCCACCCTTTTCACTACCGCCACCGCCACCACCACCACGGCGCTGTACCAGCTTCACAGATCCGTTTCACTCCAACCCGGAACCCCTCTTGCCCCCCCCCCCCCCACCCCGAGCATTCAGTTCACAGTTGGCCCAGTGCCAACCTCCGTGCCTATGTGGGTATCTACGTGAGCGCCCAACTGGGCGCCTGGCTCAGTCGCTGACTCTGCGCCTGGCTTAGCGGCTGACTGGACGTCGAATTGGATGCCGGGCTTGGCAGCCGACTCGACGTCTGGCCGCCGAGCCTCGAACCGGACGTGCGCCTTGACGCGCGGCTGGGCGTCGGCCCCGCCGGCTGACCGCTCGTCTGCGTCGGTGTCCGGCTGCGCGCCGGCCCCTCCGTCTTGCCCTGCGCTGGGCTCGGAGTCCGAACGGGAGCCGCCCTCCACTGCCCGCTGAGCGTCGGCGGTCGCGTGGCTCTCGTGGCTCGCGTCCTGCCGGGGACCCGGAGCGCCGCTCGGGAGTTTGGCTCCAGCGTCCGGCTCCGTCGCCGCCTCCACCACGCCGATCTTGTCACCTACAGGCGCCAGCGGCAGACAGGGGAAGCACAGACACCCTAGGGCAGCTTGAGCACCCGAAAGGCTGCGTTTATTTTTTTTTTAAACGTAAAAAATATATACTTATATTTTACTCGCTCGTACAACATCTACGGTGATCGGTGATGCTTTTATCGGCAAATTTTGTGCGCGGCTGGGGGGCCGCGGGGCTCGGTGGTGAGCGGCGCTCTGGGCATGGGACTCCAAATTCGCCGGTTCGTACGTACATACGTATGTAGGCACGTACGTATGTATGTACGTACGTACGCACGGTCTCATTCGCAAAAGAGTGACCCCGGGCTCGCCAAAATGACAAAAGGGAGAATGTCAAAGAAACTAAAACAATGCCGCGAATAAAAATCAGAGAGAGAGAAAAAAATAAATATAACGCGATAGATGAGACGACCAAATATGTAAGTGTGTATGTTGAACTTCGTTGGCACCATACGTTCGCCGACCGTGCTGATCAGAGGTACGGGGAGAGGGTGGCAATGACAACAACACTAAACACACAAAAGAGCGCTTCTCAAGAAAACACATTCTCCTGCGGAGGGAGCTGGTAGGAACGTTGGGTTGCTCGGTCAATGGCCAGGGTAAACGGCGGCACCACGTGGTGTACACCGCAAATATGCCCGACTGTGAGGGCGGGCACAAGCCGGCGTGAGTAGGTGAAACGTTGAGTTTTATAAGGGAACCACGGGGTGACCAGCCTCTCCCCACCCAGCCCCACCCCTCCCACCCCCCATCCAGCCCCTCCCCTCCCACCCCCCACCCAGCCCCACCCCTCCCACACCCCACCCTCCCCACCCAGCCCCTCCCCACCCAGCCCCTCCCCACCCTCACCACCCAACCTCTCCCTCTCCACCCAGCCCCTCCCCACCCTCCCCTCTCCACCCAGCCCCACCCCTCCCATTTTTGGATGCACGACGGACGGACGGACGGACACAATAATCCCCTGTGGGCTGGTGGTGTAACCAGGAGGTTCCTACCAGTATTCCTTGTCAATGTCGAGACCGCAGTGGTGCTGAAGCAGCTTCACTGCGGTCTTGCACCCCTTTTGATTCTCAATCGTAAACACGTGGAGGGTGTTGATGAAACAGAATTAAGTTATCTCGCACCCCCAGGGGGTGCAGCGTGCACCCCCAGGTGAAGAAGAAGAAGAAGGAGAAGGAGAACCACTGCTCTCGATGGTGGTTCGACCCCAATTCCTGGCGTAGCAGCTGCAACAGTGGCTCAAGGTTTCTCACAGCGAGAAAACGTTAACTGGACGTGGTGTGCCGGGCGAGGATATTTTTTTTCTCTCTTCCGGGGTCGCCGATCTGCACGCGGCTGAAATGAAGCAGCGGCGGCGCGTTGGGATGCGGGAGAGCATCGTGCGTGTGTGTGTGAGCGTGTGTGTGTGAGCGTGTGTGTGTGCCACCATGAGGGGTGGACAGTCCTCTACTCGGGGCAGCAGACTGCCAAACAAAGAATGAAGGGTGCGTGGGAGCGTGGCGGTGAGGTGTGGGAAGCTGTAAGCCCCAGGCTACTTTGGGCTCGCCTTCCCATCAACCGGAGGCGAGGAGTGGTGGTCGTGGTTACTTATGCCCCCACCGAAGACGAACATCCGTGGAAGGATGCAGGCAAAGCCGATGAGTCAGATGCCTTCTATGACCTCCTGTCACAGGTGCTGGCTAAAGTGGCCCCTCGGGATAGAGTCATCATGTTGGGTGACTTCAATGCCCGAGTTGGTCATGATGCTGGCACCTGGTCTGGAGTGATTGGAAGGCATGGGCCAGATCAGCTCAATAACAACGGTAGGAGGCTGCTAGATTTTTGTGCAGCCCATGGGCTTGTAATTACCAACACGCTGTTCGGGCATCGGCGCATCCACACAACATCATGGATGCATGCCGGGTCCAAGCAAGAACATCTGCTGGACTACATATTGACGGACCAGCGGATGCGAGCCCATGTCCTTGACACCAGGACCTACCGTAGAGCTGATCTGCCCTCTGACAATCGACTAGTCATCTGTAAGATGCGCCTGCCATTCTTCCACTCCGGTGGTGGCTGTCCACCCAGGACCCCATTCCAACCTAAAGTGGCCTGGTCTCAGTTATCTGATGAAAGTTGCAAGCGAGAATTTCATCATTGCTTGCGGCTGGGATTGGCATCGTCCCCCACTCCTCCTGATCTCGAGGGTAAATGGGCGAGGTTTAGGACTGTGACTCATGCAGCTGCAATGGCTGCTTTGGGTACGCGGTCCAGACCTCCCCAGAGACCCTGGCTGACAGAGGAGGCGTTCAGGATGGTTGAGAAAAAGCGACAGGCCCAATGTCATCGGCTACAGAATCCCACGTCAGAGAATGAGGAGGCTTACCGCAGCCTTCGCTCGGAGGTTCGGAGAACCGTGAGGCACTGCAAGGATGGGTGGTGGTCGCGGGTTGCTGAGGAGATGGAGTCTGCCTCAGTGGCCCGCGATCACAAATCTCTCTTTAACTCCATCAAAAAAGTAACCTGCAGCGCCACACCTATTACCATCATTAGGGGGAAAAACGGTGATCCAATCTCCGACCCCCAGGAACAGGTTTGTAGATTTGCTGAGCACTTCTGTGAGGTCCTGGGGGAGGGGAAATCCCTCAGCCAAGAAAACATCGTGGCACAAAGTGAGGATGACCCTGCTGAGGCTGCGGTGCCTCAAAAAATTGGAAGAAGTCACCCCCTGTGAGTGGCTGATTGAAGTACCATCTGTTGAGGAAGTACTGAAGGCGATCCGGAGTCTGAGACCAGGAAAGGCAGCGGGCAGAGATGATCTCCCAAGCGAAATGCTGAGGGAGGGTGGCGTTTGTGCACAGACTGCCCTATATGACATCATAACAACAGTCTGGACCACTGGACGGGTTCCGCAGGATTGGAAGGATGCCCTGGTGGTCCCCCTCTTTAAGAAGGAGGACCGCACAGACTGTAACAACTACAGGGGCATCTCACTCCTCAGTGTGCCGGGAAAGGTCCTGGCAAGGATTATTCAACATCGCCTCACCAGGCACGCTGAGGAGAGGCTTGCGGAGCCCCAATGCGGTTTCAGGAAAGGGCGGTCCTGTACAATGCCATATTTTCTGTCCGTCTGCTACAGCAGAGGTGTAGGGAATTCCAACAAGACCTACATCTCTGCTTTATTGACCTGGTCAAGGCCTATGATACCATCAGTAGGCCTGGGCTCTGGGTTGTTTTTCGTGCTTTTGGAGTCCCTGACCCTCTGCTCACGATTATTAAGGACCTACATGATGGTGAGCGGGCCCGGGTAAAACTACGTGGCCGGGAGTCAGAGCCATTCCCTGTACACCTTGGTGTGCGACAGGGATGTCCTCTGGCTCCCACATTAATTAACATCTATTTTGATCACGTAGTTCGTGAAGCCTTCAATAGCTGTACCGGGGGAATCTCCATTTGGTACAGATATAATGGGAGGCTGATCGATGCCCGGGTGCGGTCAAGGGATGGCTCCCTATTGCTCAACCATGTTATCTATGCTGATGATTTGGTAATAGCTGCTCATTCAGAGGAGGAGTTGGAGATGCTGCTACTGAGACTGGAGCGTACCACTAAGAGATGGGGCCTTACCATCAGCCCCACCAAAGCTAAGCACCTGCCTGGGTATTTTGTACCATCGGGCACTCCACCCCCACAACTCCCAATCGGTGATGGGGCAGTTGTGGAGAGAGTGGAGAGGGCAGTGTGCTTATAACCGGCTCCAGTTTAACAGCAGAGGTCTCACTCCGAATCAGTCGAGTGGCAATATCTTTTCATCGGTTGCGTAACGCTGTGTGGAAGCTATCTGGTCTGTTGCTCCGCACTAAGCTTCAGGTATTCTCGGCCACGGTCATTCCCTCCCTTCTCTACGCTTGCGAAACGTGGACCCCCTTAATGGAGCATCTTCGCCGGTTTGAAACATTTAGGCTGGCCTGCCTACGATCCATTCTGGGTTTAACCAGGCTGGATCGTGTGAGGAGCTCAAAAATCCTTGAAAGATCTGGGCAAGGTCCCATCGGTGAGCTCCTCCGGCAGGAAAGGCTTGCGTTGGCTGGTTCATGTAGCCCGCATTCCCAGCCACCGCATGCCGAAACAGCTTTTGTTCGGCCGGATCGAGGGGGCTAAACGGGCGCGGCACGGGTTAGAGAAGAGATGGAGTGACGTGGTACAGGAGGACGTGGAGCTGAGTGGACTTCCCGATGACTGGTACCAGCGGTGTCAAGATCGGCCTCTGTGGAGGAGGCTCGTGAAGGACGCTACTGGGCAGTTGGAGGCAGTCGCCCTCCAACAACAACGGAAGGCGGAGGAGCGACGCTCACAACAACGAGCGGAGTGCCGGGTGGCTAAAGCACAGCAGGTTGGCACAGTAGGGGGCACAGGTGGTGCATCAGCCAATCATCTCATTCAGTCGACCGGTGGCACCTGGGTCTGCCCCGTGACCTCCTGCTAGCGCGCGTTCGACACTCCACGTGGCCTCAAGGTGCACATGGCCTGGCACAAGCGTCGTGGTGACGTCACCGCCACTTAGTCGCGAATGGCGGTTGTTGTTGTTGTGTGTCTGTGTGTGTGTGCGTGTCTGTGTGTGTGTGCGCGTGTGTGTGTGTGTGCACGTGTGTCTGTGTGTGTGCTGTGTGTGTGCGTGCGTGTGCGTGTGTATGGGGAGCGATAGTGTAGCGGTTAGCTCGCTGCGCTATGAACTTGGCGACCCGGGTTCGATTCCCGCTCACGGCCAACACCAGTGACGATTATCTGAACCGGTCCCGGGCCTCCCCTAGGTCGACTCAGCCTCAAATGAGTACCTGGTGCGGTGTGTAAACATTGCCACTAGGGAGACAAAGGCGGTCGGGTGCGGCGCTGGCCACCCACCCCCTCGTGTACCGTTCCGGCCTTCATAGGTGCTCGCTAACAGCCCTTGCCCCTACAGTCTGTTAAGGCTATATGGGGGATCTTTGTCTTTTGTGCGTGTGTGTGTGTGTGTGCGTGTGTGTGTGCGCGTGTGTGTGTGCGC